CAGTTCAAGAGGGACAGGGAACTGCTGGAGAGAGTCCAGCGAAGGGCAACCAAGATGACTGAGGGATTGGAGCATCTCCGTTATGAGGAAAGGCTGAGAGAGCTGGGACTCTTTAGCCTGGAGAAGAGAAGGCTGAGGGGAGACCTTATTACTACTTACAAATATCTAAAGGCTGGGTTGAAGGAGGATGGAGCCACACTCTTCTCGGTGGTTCCCAGTGACAGGATGAGGGGCAATGGGTGCAAGCTGGAACATAGGAAGTTCCGTTCCAACACACAAAAAAACTTCTTTACAGTGAGGGTGACAGAGCACTGGCACAGGCTGCCCAGGGAGGTTGTGGAGTCTCCTTCTCTGGAGATTTTCAAAACCCGCCTGGATGCAGTCCTGAGTAACGTGCTCTGGGCAATCCTGCTTTAGCAGGGGAGTTGGATTAGATGATCTCTAGAGGTGCCTTCCAACTCTGAAAATTCTGTGATTCTGTGACCACAAAAACCCCTCCAAAACCCAGAGGAAAGTATATTGTGTATAGATGCAGTAAGATCAGTAAGCAGTAAAGCTTGCATTAATAAGATCATAAACATTTTATTGATTAATCAACCACTGTGTTTACATTTCTTGCTGTTATATGGGACTACAGAGAATTATATCCTTGGCAAATTAAAAACACATGTTACCTGCATAGTCTTAAAGAGCTTATTCAAAACAATTCATTTATTATTGGTTGAAGTATAAGTAATTTGAAACAATAAAATATTTACATGGGGTATTATCATGTCTAGCTGCCTTCACATTTGTCCTTAACAGTGTCAAAGCATTACCCAAACCAAAAGTGAGGTAGACTGCCGCTTGTGTCTAATGTCTTTTTTGGTTAGTTGTGTTAACACATGCTGAATTGAGATTTCTAGATCTGATTGATTGCCCAGCAACATTAGTGAGAAGATTTCCTGTTGACTTCAAAATACTTTGGGTTAGACCCTTCGGTGAATTCTGCTATTTAATCTGTTCCCTAACATCTCTAGGTCCATGGTACTGCAACTGCATTGGACCATGGGCCTATAATCCAAAAAAAGCACGATGCGTGTAATGCAGAAAGCCTTGCTTTCAGTATTCTCAGCATTTTCCAGGAATGCGCATGAGACAACTTGCCTGTCCTGTATCAGTCATAGCAGCAACCACAACTGCTAAGGAATAAAAGTCTGGACAAACAACATCGGGTCTGGTTCTGTCTTGTCATGCAGCACGCAGGGGCCTTCCTAAGTTCATATTAAAGCATATTAGCTAAGTACAAGCTGTCTTTGATTAGGTTAGACACTGTGGAGTTTGTATCAATATACTGCCTGCCTACAAGTGATACCACGTACACTGCATAACCTCTCTTTAACACACTGTTCCTCCCTAGCACATTTCAATGCTATGAACTTAAGAAAAAGAAAAAAGATCTGTGTCACAAGACCTTTGCTGCTATCAGCAAATACATTTAATTTAGGTGCATTCTCCTCGTGTTGCAAGGCAGAAGTAATAGAATATTCAAGAAACTGAAACTTTAAAATTCTTCACAAGTCTGCATTATACTGAAGACAGATTTCTGAAGACCAATGGAATAATGTTCTACTTTTACTTTGTGTTGAATTGAAGTGGGGGTGGTGGTGGTATTTAGTGCAGTGGAAGCAAGACTGGGATCCGTATTTATTGATTGGAAAATATCAAAAAGAAATTCATTTATATTCTACAGTTTTTGAGTCTTATTAACAGGATTTAAAATACAGGGGTCAGAAAGGGTACAAAACCATCTGCAGACGCAGTCTTCACTTCTGATGAGGTCAACAGGAAGCCTCCCAGTTCTGTCAGATTTTGAGTATGGCATATACTGCTTGCTTGGTAAACCAAATTAAAGATCTGTAAACTCCCTTTTATTCCAAGTGTGCCCTAAAACATCCCCAAGCAGCAGCGTGGGTACACAAGCAAGCTCTGGTGAACTGTTATACTCCCCTCCTTCCTAGATGCAAAAGAGAAAAGTATAACGTGGGGAATTTCTAGGCTGGTAGCTTATGCACATTGAAGCCATTTTATTTATGTAGGTTTTATGTGTAAATTTCTTGGCAAAGGATTTACCTTCATGTGTACAGTGATGTGCAATGGCTAGAATACAACAATGTTGCAATGATTATATTCTCAAAAGTGGGAAATACCATTTTGCAAAAGTTTGCATGTCCTATCTCATGGAAAAGTCATTGTTTGAGGCAACAGTGTGTTCAAACCATGTTAGCGCAAATTAGTACAAGCCTTGGTTTGTGGTTTTGTCTCTCTGTAGGAAGAATGCTTAGCCACAGATGATATGCTTGTGGACTACTTTAACGAATTTTTGAGTCTTCCGGTAAGTACCTTACAGAAATTCCTTGCAAAATACAAGAAACACCTTACTAAGATTAGTAACATTTTGCTTAGAACGTTTTGCATTTTACCACTGGGAAATTAAATGGCTTTTACAATATGTCTATTTTGATGGTAGCAACTTTTGTTGTTCAATGCTATTATGCATCAGGAAAAATAACACAGTATCTGGACTTCTGGAGACTGCTTTTCTCTTGCAAATTTACATATTTAAATCACAGTGCACCAAAATAATATGAAAAGGAAATGAAAGAGAGATGTAAATACTTTTTCAAAAAGCATAGAGAGTCCACTTTTATTCCAGTACCATGACATAACGACATAACAAATATTTGTCCTTTTACATTCTTCTGGCCATGCACTCAGTGACTAATAACTACTTTGCCTCAGGAAAGTGGGCCCCCCAGCCTATTTACCCCAGAGCTGCCCCACAGCCTGTCTCCCTCCCAAAGCACTGCAGCCCAACAGGCTGCACTATGAGATCATATACCCATTTCTGCATCTTGCTTGGTAGGAATCACCACCAGCATTAGGAAGGGGCAGAATATTTCTTGATGGTCCTTGGAGCTAACACTATGGTGCAGCCACTATTGAAATAAATTGTTATGATTCAGGCTTACCAAACTGAACTAGACATAGATGTTCTCTCTAAGCCACATCACAGATTCGTCTAGAAGTACACGTGATGGGAGCTGCAAAGCTAAGGATGGTAGAATGGGCCCCCCATGCCAAATTTTTATCTTAAAATAGAATCTGGATGCATTAACTCTATATCAGAGTGTGGGTTTTGAGCACAGCAGTGATACTGACTTCTGTCAGGAGCTCAGCCTTTACATGCTTTCACCACACTGCAGGATTCCTAAGAATAATTTTTAGAGAGCTAGGAAGACATAGATGGAAGAAAATGTGTGGTGAGAGGGACATGTTTTTTCCTCTTTCTTCCCCACCCCTCTCCACCCTCCCCCTTGCAGCTGCTCTCGGATATCTGCCTAAATCCAAGCCTAACTACATAGGTTTTAAACCCAGGCCTCCTTCCATGTGCCAGATTGTTCTTAGCACAGGAATACCATCCTCCATGCCTTTGCTGCTTATTTGGAAACTATGCTTCACGTTTTCCCCAAATCACGGAGGACAGAGCAGGTAAGAAGTTTGGCCTGCTTAGCCTCTGGGTCTCCCTGGACATGCACAGATTTCAGGACATCTATTAGAGGCCAAAATTCTCCTTGGCCTCAGAGGGCTCCTCAGCCCACACTCCTGGCGCAGCTCAGCAGCTCTGAACTGCAGCGATTGTCCAGGCACTCCTGACAGCTCTGGAATCCCACAGAACAGAGTTCACAGACAGTCCTGAGTAAACAATGTTTAACACTGCTAATCTTGGTAGGTGTCTATGATGACACATGGTCTCTCTTCTATATATTTACGTATCTTCACAAAAACAGACGCTCTACTAGCTATTTTTATCTTTAATGTTCTCATAACTGGTTTTATTTTCTCTTTGATCTTTTCCTGAGGATTTACTCTCTTCATGATTAAGTTCTATTACTGCCTTGAGTTCTGTGGTTTGAATACCTTATATTCCCAATTTCCCTCTCCTTCTCAGAAGGCTTCTACTAAAACACCGCAATGAAATTTCCATTGCTTTATTCTTGTTGTGCTTATACACTGTTGCCTGGGAACAGTATTACCCAGGTGTGCTAGTAGTTAGGCAACAAGTTAAACTGAAAATATTGTGTGACTTAATACAAGAAATCAGGGGTAGCATATGCTTATTTTAAGAGACTGCCTCTGTGTTGATTTATAATGCGTCACTAGTGTATGGAAAATTGTATCACTGGGGACTTGCTATAGCAGCAGCAGATATTTTTTTTTTTTTGCTTTGATTTACAGTATATCCTTTAAGTGATCCTGTTGTTATAATAATATTGAATACAATCTGACACAAATATCTAGGTAGTCCAAAGAACTACGTACTGTAATGAAGGATAGTTCGTACAGAAAATACTTCTGAAAGATAAAACAATACAAAAACCCTCCAAGGGCACATGTTGTCAGTATTACAGTGATTTCACAGTAGCAGAAACAAATTACATGACACACAAACGAGTTATACCTTCCTTAATAACTAATCTAAAATGAAAGATTTAAGAGAAACATTGGCCTGGATACATTTCCATTTCTAGCCTATCAGGCATCCCTAGAATTCTAATCTTTGATCCATGTATTTAAAACATCCAAGAACATGTTCATCCAGGAATGAAAATTCAGAAGTCAGAAATAGCCTTCCAGCTCAGGGTTGGAGGCCTCAATAAGAAAGCACAGTAATGTCAACTTGTTTCTCCTGCACTCTACAAGCTGCCTGCTACTTGTTCCACCCCAAGTCCGCGCTGGGGCCTTACCCCTCACTTTCCAGTTACCAGTGGAACAGGTCCTGATGAAGATACACTCCTCCTCTTTGCAACCTCGAGGAGTTGCACTAGAGACAAAAGAGCTGACTGCACCTCAGTTGAAGCATTTCAGTACATGGCACTCTTGGTGGCAAGTCCCTGGCTGTGGGTTTCCTTTGCAGTAGAAAGCTACCAAGTGACCACAATTTTATCAACTTCAGATTTGAAGACTACTTCTTTTGAAAGTCGTTCTCACTATAAAATCTCTCTGCTGAATAGTCTGGGATCCAGGATTTGATGCAGGTAATGATTCTGAAAATAATTAAAGCCCCAGTAATAAAGTTTGGGCCAATTAGTCTTTCTGAAAACAGAATGGTCCTGAAAACCTGGTGCTGTCAAGAGTAAAACCAGGCCTGATCTATGAGTAGCAGATGACGGAGAGGGCAGAAAGCAAAAAGCAATCCACTCTCCTGCACAGTTCAGGCCCCTCTCTGCTTTGAAGATGGCTGTGAGTAATTCAAGGCATCAATTCATGCTCATTAGTTTCCTCTTGTCTTTGCCAGGTGTGTGGAGGGAGGCAGCATGTGCAAATAGAACCTCCCTTTTACATCAATAAGGCCCTACGTGCATGTTATGTGGAGTCTTACCCAGAACTAAAACTTGCTTCATACCTTTGACATTCAATGAAGCAAAAGAAGCCCTCCTGACTTCTTTTCTTATTGATAGTGGGTTTAGTCAAAATGCTCTCCTTGCCTCCTCTCCCCTCCCCTCCCCTCCTCTCCTCTCCTCCTCATTAGACTGTTCTGTGATTGTGACTTGTGTCTTACTCATCAACAGAAGGGAAATCCTGGACTCATTAAAGTCAATGGGAGATTTGCCATTGACCACAACCAGTGTGAATTTTCCAGGCACTTCCTAGAGCTGCTCAAATTCTCTTTTGGTCTGAATTCTCACTAACATTTATTTATGATACACACATACCCATCTTAAGGAAGGTTTGGCAAAGCTCCAGGATGAGAACTCTATTCATTCCCACCCTTTCAGGGCCTTAACCTAAGAGGCGGCCAAACTGTGGTCATTTCTGTTTCTCTTGGGATCAAACTACATTACTTGGGGTGAGATGTGGTGAGTGTATTTACACATTTGTTAAGTGTATCTGAAGTTAAGTATATCTGAAAACTGTTAAGTCAGAGAACAGTGAGATTTATATGTCTGATATCCTGGCAACATGGTGATGGATGCTGTTTTGGTTTCTGTTTTGGGTGGACTGAGAGAAATTTGCCTTCCCTTCAGTTAAGTGTATAACTTTAGGTTTCAGAATTATGTATTCTATTTATTCTTCAGCTGAAACCGTATTCAATGTGCATTGGACAGCTAAGAAATGTCTTTGCTGTCAAAAATGTACATGCAATTGTTTATTTAATAGTATTGCTGTACCATAGTCTGAAAACAGCTTTTTGTTGTTTGCTTGGAGATTTTTTCTGAAGCTGAGAATACTACACTGAGTTACAGTGGTCATACTGGGTTTAAGGGGAGAATTACCTGTGAGAGAAAGAGTTTGCAAAGTCTGTAGGCTTCTTATTTGTTATTCTCAAATCCATGTTGATACTATTTATTGTGCTAAATTGATAATGTATGAATGCCAAGCTTCAAGACTCCTGCCAAAACGGATTTATTTTTTCTTAATATCTTGAGGTATAATTTGGCTGTGGAGATTTCACTCTCTATCTTCAAAAGATCAAAAATTGGCCCAAACTAGAGAGAGAACATACGGAAGAATGTGTTGATGCACTTAGTCTTTGGTTAGTGTATTTTACTTGTCTGTAAAAAGCCAACCACTTGCCAAATGTAGGGTAAGAAAGACATTTTTTATTATATTAGATTGGCATGGATAATTTTTTCCCCTTCCTTTTTAGTGTAGGCTATCATCCACTCCTTAACATAGGCATCTTCACTGAAGATATTCCTCATTATTGCAATGACCTAGTATATTGGTGGTGCCATAAACCTCTCTCATTATTGTCCTGTGAAACATTGTAGGATTTTACAGCACTTGGCTTCTGTGGGAAAGCTTTTATGGTTGCTACAGGGTATTGAACAGTTGGGATTTTTTGTGGCTTGTAATGTATGGGAATGGTTAGATTGTGTGTTTTGCTCCAAAGTTTTTCACATACTGAGAAGGAAATGGATTGACTGATCCTCTCTGTCCTGCACTGTAACTGGGAAAATGTTTCCGACAAATCAGTTTAATTTTGTGTGTGTGTGTCTCCATCTGATTTTTGTCATAACATTATCACTTTTATTTTTGTGGTGGGGCTGAGTTAAGAAGGCCAGAACTTAGCTCTTCTTTTATTATGCTTACAAAAACGTTCTGATTTATCATTCTAGTTTTCTTAAGAAAGCAAGTGAAATATGGTTCTCCAGAAAGGTTTTAACTATTCTAAAATGCTTTTATATGATAGTTTGATGAGATGCTCTATCTGGTAGAATTTAGAATTTGTGCAGAATCATAGATCACTCAGGCTGGAAGGGGCTTTTGGGAGGTCTGTAGTCTGGCTTCCTGCTCAAAGCAGGGTCAATGCTTTAGTGTTGAGACCAGGTTGCTTGGCACTTTGTCTGGTTGGTCTTGAAAACCTCCAACAACTGATTTCATAGTCTCTCTGGACAGCCTGTTCCAATACTAATCATCCCACAATTACCTTTTCTCTTATATCCAGTTGAGACCTCTACTGTTTCAGTGCATGACCATGGTCTTTTGTCCTCCCACCACGCACCTTTATGAAAAGCCTGGCTCTAACTTTTCAGTAACCTCCTTGTAAGTACTGTAAGACTGCTGCTATGTCCTCCCAGAACTGTCTGTTCTTCAGGCTAAATAAGCCCACTTTCCTCAGCCTCTTCTCACAGGGCAAGTGCTCCAGCCTCTGACATCTGAGTGGTCTTCTGCTCGACTTACTCAAATATATGAACAAATACTTATATACATGTACTGGGGACCCAAAACTGGATGTAGTCTTACTAGTGTCAAGTAAAGGGGATCTACTGGCTATTCTCTGACTGATACAAGAAGTATACATGCCTAACGTTCCTGGGGATAGGTAACTATATCTGCATCAGAAGCGTGACCAGCAGGTCAAGGCAGGTGACTCTTCTCCTCTACTCTGCTCTGGTGAGACCCTACCTGGAGTACTGCATCCAGCTCTGGAGCCCCCAACATAGGAGACATGGACCTGTTGGAGCGGGTCCAGAGGAGGGCCACAAAGATGATCAGAGGGCTGGAGCACCTCTCCTATGAGGACAGGCTCACAGAGTTGGGGTTGTTCAGCCTGGAGAAGAGAAGGCTCCAGGGAGGCCTTATTGCCAGTACCCAAAGGGGGGCTACAGGAAAGCTGGGGACAGACTTTTTACTAGGGCATGTAGCGACAGGGCAAGGAGGAACAGCTTCAAACTGGAAGAGGGGAGATTTAGATTAGATATTAGGAAGAAATTTTTCACTCTGAGGGTAGTAAGGCACTGGAACAGGTTGCCCAGAGAAACTGTGGAAGCTCCATCCCTGGAGGTGTTTAAGGCCAGGCTGGATGCGGCTTTGAGCAACCTAGTCTACTGGGAGGTGTCCCTGCCTACGGCAGGGGGGCCTGGGACCAAAAGGTTTTTCAAATCGCTTGCAACCTAAACCATTCAATGATTCTATGCTCTTGGCCCCAAACCCAAAACTTTAGACTAGAACCACCTTTTTCAGTCAAGTATGTAGTGTATGAAGTCTTAATCTTCTTATCCCATCAGTGTATGTTCTTTTGTTCCATTAGTAAATGTGTCTTATAAATGCTTTGTAGTCAGACTCCCAAAATTGCAATACACTTTACATTTTAAAAATTGTCACCAGCATCTGTTTCACTGTATTAAAATTGCCATATGTTTTCTGTTCAGTTAATTAGAATGTGTATTGAAAAACCTAGATCTAGAATAGGTTACAAAGGATTAAGTAAAAGTAGAAGTGTGTGATAAACTAATGTTGTCTTTGCTTAATTTTCAAGTTGAATAACACAGATTTAAAATAATCTGGTCACGGCTAGTCATGTAGCCCTATATTATGGAATTTGCACTTCTTAGTTTGCTTTCCTTCCACAAGCAAGAACATTTAAAATCCTGAGAGACTCAAGCACCTTGTTTCTTAGTGTATTTTCTTCTGTTTTCTTTTTAAAAACATGAAAAAAATAAATAAGGAAGACTATATTTGGAGGTTATTAAGGTTGCACAGTTAGTCACTTAAAAGCTGGTAGCAGCCCAAATTAGGTTTGAAAGTAAATGAAATGTACACACAGCGAATTGGGAGGGGGTCTACATGAAGTATAGAGAATTCTACTTACTACACATAAAAGCCTCTTTAAAATGCTGTTCAGTACATCTGGAGAAAAAGCACTAAAACTTGCAGAGTACCCTGGAGAAAATTAATGCCAAAAGAGGCACAAGGTGTCAGAGAACAAAAACCAAGCCATGATTTTCAACTGAAGTTTGGTAACTAATCAGACTAATGCAATTTGATGCATGGCTCTGAGCAGTGACAGTCTGATGTCATAGGCACTAATCGTACACTTAAAGCTCTCATATGCTACGTGCGTTGCCAGGCTGAGCCTCCACAGTGAGACATTATCGGATAAGTAGCAAATGTTGTAACCACATGTTGCAGCCACATGGTTCGATCCGGGGCATTGCTCTACATTGATCAACAAGGGGGCTTCAAATAGAAGCAACAAAATAGATGACACTGACATGGTTACTTTGGACTTATACAGGTGTGAAAGAGAATAAAATTGGTCTGTAATATATTTCTGTATTATATGTAGCATGTATTCAGCACACATAGTATGTATATGAATGATGTCCATGTGCGTATATATGTGATACATGAAAAAGTTCAAGGAAATGAAAAATACAGTGCTTGAAAAAATAAAATAATCTTAGTAAATGCAGAGGAATAACAACTGTACAAACACCAGGTGGGATCCTGTCTGGAATGAAGCCAAAAAGAATGTTGGCACTGGGTCTGGATAAGGCCAGGATTTTCTTCAGTTCTTAAATACAACATGCTGCCTTGTCCTCCAGCTCAGTGCGGAGATGCCTATATGCTCTGACTGTATATCATCTCATATTCATAAGTGTCTTGGGTATCCCCCATTACTTCTGTAAAATCCATCCATATTTCCCCTCTTCATTTCAAGTAAAAGAATTTGAAAGATAGTCTTTTAGAAGAGAAAGCAGGGAATTGCTTAATACCAGAGCTCAAAAGATGACAGATGGCTCTGTTTTAATTGTGTACACATGCAGTGTTTTTTTTTTGGAGTTGACAAAAGTTATAATTACATAGCTGAAGACGAAATTTGGTCTACCTCATGTGTTATACAGTATCTCACTGAACTAGTGACGTACAATAAAACTTACTACAGGCCATAGGTTTTGGTAGGTGTTTGACCTACAAGTAACAATCTGGTGAAAAGCCTTTCCTACATATGGAAATCTTTACATTCATCCTCCTCAAATGCATCTCACATTTAACAGGTCAGCTTCATTGCTAATCTTTTCAAGCCTTGATTTTTTTGTGGTAGTGAATGGGAGAGTAGTACTGGAGATCTGATCCCACAGGTAAGTAGCCTCCTGCAGAACGGTTACTAAAGTCACTGTGAATTGTATATTCTAGACATCTGTGTACTGCATCTATTATTTGCATGTGAAAAAGAATGGTCTGTGATCTAGAATGAGTTAAATTCTTGACAATTAAGCATAGCTTAGACAAAAAGTTGGGATGCTTTGGAAAGCTATACAGAGAAGAGACTAAAGAAAAAGAATGCCGAAAAATTACTATTCCGGGCCCTAAAGATGATAAACTACAGCAGGCAAGAGAAAGAAGCCTCAAAATACCAGCTTGCATTCTGTAGGATGCTTCTATACTATAAAAAGTAACTTTCTTAAATGAAAGAGGTCCCTTATTACAATGTTATAAACTTTCCAAACTTCTTTTGCAGACTTTTGCCCAGCCAATTAAGTTTAACTCTGACTTTGGGGTTTTTGAAGTAGTTAATGATGCCCCACAATGCCTGGAAAGCCAACTGAAAAAAATTCTACATGATCAGAAACCTCCAAACCCCATTTATGATGTTCTAAGGAAAGGAAAGAATGATGGGCAGTTCTCCAAAATGCGCAGCGCTTCTCCAGCCTTCAATATTGATCCAAATTACAACACTATGGTAAGCATCTTATAGCCCCTGAGTTTATATTTAGATCTTACTGTAGAGATACTGGCAGTAGTTATTGTTGTGTTTGGCTTGGTAGCTTGGGAAAAATGTTAATTTATGTTAGGAAAACATAATGATGGGCCAAATTATGCCCTGCAATGCACATGTGTCTACCAGACAAGTGAATGGAATTACACATGTACATCCTGTAGCACAAAATTTTGAAGATTCTGTAGGGCAGGATTCAGTTGTGTGGTCTGAATACTTTTTAATATTAAAAGAAAAAATATTATGACAACAGTTACTTTACTAGTGATCCCTGGAATGTGCAAATTGACTGAAACTAATGCATCTCAGTCTTTCCTTATTAATTAATTTCCTTGTGTGGCTATGAGCTCATCTGTGGTCTGGCAACACATAAGTCTCTCTTCCATTAATTCCCAAAGGACTTACATGGTTAGCATCAATTGAAATGGCCAGAGAAAATAATCTTTGGCAACAAGAAAGCTAAATTAATGGAAAGATAGGTTGGACTTTAGAAAAAAAAAATATCTTGTTTCAGACTTGCTCAGACACTATCAATGTTGGTATTCTTAACATGTTTACTTTCAGGGCTTTCTTCAGCATCAAATTAGGCAGGTTAAAATTAGGAACTGAAGCACCATATACACCTGAGAGACTACAAGACAGTATAATTAGTTGTGGGAGTTTACCTTTAAACAATAGCTTTGGAGATTAAAAAAATACTTCACTGGGATACTTGGTTTATTTCTTTCTTATTTACTTTGCATTGGTATGACTGATGTGACTTTAGTTTATTTCATTCAAGGCTAGTCTAAGGTCTTCCTACGTTTTTAGAGGCGGCTGCTCTAAATTATGTCATAGCTGGAAAGCTGAGAGAAAAGCAAGGAGTTATAACAGACTGATGCTTTGCCCAGTATAAGCTTAATGATTTTCAGAAAAGAAAACAGTTTTGAGAGAGGTCAAAAGGCAATGCTGTTTAACAAAATGATAGTAACGGGAGATTGCAATTCTCTGCATCTAAACTGGACAAATGCTACTACAGGACAAGGCTCACAGACGTCCCTACCATGTTAAATTATTATTTTCACAAGTACTTTGCTTGAGAGCACAAAAGCAGAAGAGCTATTCTTGATACCCTATTTGCTCTCAGGATTCAACCGAGGAAATGTGTGCTTGTAGAAGTGTGGGTAACGCTCTCTGGGATAACCTCACATCGTTGCAACACTGGATGGCCTTTCTTGGCAAATTCAAAGCCACTTCACTATTACTGACATCTTTCATGTGGTTTGGAGCAACAGGGCTCCTGTATTATTTAACAATGCATTTCTTTCTCTGGGCCATTTTCCATTGATGGGAAGCATTAAGGCTTTTTGAGGAGCAGCATGCCTCAGTACACTTTCTTCTCCTTTTGGGAGGAAAGGGTGATGTTTCTTCTTATTTTTGACTCCTCCTTTACTGGACAGGTAACTTAGATGCCTCATCCAGTTCAGCTTGGCATCTCAAGGCTGAGCTGGAACAAAAAGGTCTACAAAACAGCGTGCCAAAATTTGCTGCTGCAACTACACAAGGTGAAAGGAGTCAGCTTCGTTCATTGTACTACACTATGGGTGAACCAGAAGTCATCCCAAACCAACTGCATCAAATAGTTCAGTTCAAATCAAAATAGGATTTGATCTTTCAGGCATCGGGTGATGCAGCCTCCTTTGTTTTGACTGCTTTCTTCACACTGACTGAAGAGATTGACAGTTGCTTTGCATGTTACATTGCTACAAAAAGTCACCTTGAGTGGCCATCACACTAATGAAAATGAGCTACAATTGGAGAATCCTAGTAGACCTTTCAGGCTACAGCCTGAATTTAAACTCATCTTGCCTAAGAAATATACCCAGTGGTATTCTTCTGTGTTTTACTTCCCTCTCAGACTGTTACAAATTGACAGATAAGCAAAAGTTCTCTGCATGTGTGCATGCACACTTGCAAATTATTGATATGGAGGTAAGTATCTTCTTATCAATAGTCAAAATCAAGTTGGCATAAAATATGTTAAGAAAAAACCTTTGGAGTTGGGTAGAATTGATCACAACTATGGAAAGAAACTGGCTGGCATCCCACATACCTTACTTTAAAGAAACCCCAGTTCAGCAAAGCACTTAAGTATGTGTTTAACTTTAATCAAGGGAAGTTAAACACATGCTTAAACTTAAACACGTGCTAAAAGCTTTACTGGATTGGGTCCCAGCAAGGCCTAAGGCTGACTGGGTAAGGAAGATAACCAAGGTAACAAAACCCATCAGATTAAATGTAACATCTTTCTCTGGGGAAGGGGAAAGAGTAGAGGTTCTTCCTTTCTGATAGTATACATAATTTTGTGTACCAGCCATGTACAGACATGAACATGTTATGAATCATTCAGATAACAAACTGGGCTGAGAGTCAGTAAATACATAAATATTAAATGCCAAAATAAAGAGACAATCTTCTGTACTCCAAAAAAGCTTGTCAGTTACCAAAAGGAGGCATACACTGTGTGTTTGGGAGTAATTAGTCTCCATCTCCACAAATTACATTGTATGAGCCACTGCCAACATAAGCTTTCCATATTTTGAAATATTTTCTTCTCTCTAAATGAAACCACCCACTTTCTGAGTAATTCAGATTTTTTTAATCCCCTACAGATACATATGTGGCAGAAATAACCCTTTTCCCTAATGGAACATTAGCTCATGGAAAGAAAATTTGAAATGTAATCTACGTGAACTGACTATTTGATACAGCAAGTAGCATCCATCCTTGCCCAAACTTCACCTGTTTTTATGGACAAATGGAGTTACTGCATTTTTCCCAATCAGCAGCCTCACTGTCACTAAAAGGAAAAATGCAGCTCAGATAAATAAAACAGGTCATCCCCTAAAATTGGAAAAAGTACGCTCTTAAAAGAAAAAAGCAAGTTTAAAAGTGTGCCATGTGTCACTTCTAAGGGAAGCAGCTATGGATCACTGTGGCCCATAGTCAGAGCTTGCTCTCTGTGTACGATCCTAGGCATAGATTTTGGTTAGCTGGCTCTGTGTAGCTCAATGCTCAACACCTCCCTTTCACCCCCCAAGCCACTCATTGGAGCCACCTTGCTTTCTGCTTTGATGACACGCTGAGACTTAGATCACCTGAGCAGAAATTTGTTATGGGCCCAATTCATATCCCACTTAGGTTTCCACTGTAAGAGTTACCATGCGCTGTGTGGTTATGCAATGCTACAACATAAAAATGGGAAAGGTGATAACTGATTGGCTTTTTATTTGTTTGATTATTTTTTTTTAATATCCACAACTCTCCCATTCTGGCAGTACAATTTAATTTGCGAGTTCCTTACTCTTCAAATTCTTGAGCAAAAAAGTAATCGTGGTTATCTATAAAATGTGATAAAGTCAGAAAAATTAGCAGTTTCCCATTGCAGAAAAATTATGAGCATCTAATTTGCATTTGGAATTGTACCGTAAAAGCATGATTCATACACACATTATTTCTGAAGAAAAAACACCCATGCTTTGTTAAAAAAGTTGTGCTCTTATAGGTGAAATCAAATTTAGATCTTATTAGCTGTTAATAGGAAAGTGAATTAACTCAATTGTCCTAGAGCTATTAAGGTAAAACTGGATAACAAAGGTGATGTTAATTGTTATATTTGTCTTCCTGAGACAATGCTTCTGTAGAAGGGGGATGGAGAGAATCAGTTACATGGCAAACAAAACAAGAAAGTCAAGAATACTGCAAATCTTTGGCATTTCTTTTTTAATAGTGTCTTGATCGAGAACAAGCAATGCAGTGGATTAAGAAAGAAAGACTTCCAGCATTTCTAGAAAGCGACTGTTACTTTGAATACAGGTATTGCAATCTTATATGCTGTCTCTCAGTTTTAAATCTGTTCATTTTTCTCTTCTGTTTAATTCACCTTGACAGTACCCTTAATATGTTTCCTCGCACCTCTAGTCCTGTTTGTTTAATTTTAGCATTTTAGTGACCTGGAAAAAGTAAGATCAGTGACTTCTTTCACCTATCGTTCTGTAGTTTTCCTTGATCATGAATTACATACTATATTATACCATTACAAAGAAAGTAAGAGTGGGATTTATTGATTTCTGAATCTTTGTTCCACAGAGATATGGTAGCAATGCATCTCTCTAATCAATATGGAGTCCATATAAGTAGAAGATATGAATCCATGAAATCTATTTGGAAAAAACATCCAGTCCTTTTTATTTCAATTATTAGTTTTGTATCTTTGGGCCCACTGTCAGACTTCCTTTTGCAAGGTTCTCTGTGGGATGCTGTGGCATAGTTGGATGAATTACTGTTATACACTTGCTATATTTTTCCAGATGTCCTTCCTCTACATCCCTTAAGGTTGTGTCTAGATGCTGATAACTGTAGTGTGGTTTATGGGTCATAAAAGGAGAGGTAGCCTGGCATTAGGGTTCACAAAACTCATGTTTGCTGATTGTAATGACAGCCTAGTTACTGGGGTATAGACTTCTACATGAAAATTTTCAAAATATTTTTAACTTTCAATATCCTGAAGACTGCACATAAATTCAAGGGGAAAACTGTGCAAAGAATAAGCAAACCATGAAAGAGTGCTCCGTTTTATTTTTAGTAGCATCCTGCTTTACAGGTATCTGGTCTGGGCGTTGTGAAACACTAAAAAATTGATCCTCTGCTATAGCAAAGTATTTCCTTGATCAAGCAGTGTTACCTAAGAGAATTACACAAAACTAGCTAAGCATGTGCCTAATTTCCATTGTTATCTGTGTTTTAAGTTGCTTTCCTGAATTAAGATCAAGAAAAGCTGAGATGCTAAAAGGGAAACCTGCGTTTAAAGATGAAGAATCCTAGAATGAAATCCTATTTGCCCTCAAGTAGTGGGGACGAACAAAACTGGGCATTCAGCTCACAGCCATAGGCTGCTTCTTGCCTTGGTTGGTTTTGTACTGCTTTCTAACTTTGTTAAGTTTTGTCCCAGTTCTTGAGCACAGAGCATTCTCGTTATCGTCATGTGGTTCTAAGATTGCCTTTCCTGAACATCACAAGGTTCACACTAACATAAGGTAGCACTGGAGTGCTTTTCAGTACTATGAAGTCCTCATACAGCAGCCAGCTGAACATGGTAGCACCAACTGCTTTGTTATCATCTGAAAGTTCAATTAGTGTGATCACTGCTGTGGCACTGCTGCTGGAAGATTGCTTGTCTCAGGACCAGGAACTGTAGCGTCTGGTAGTGACACAGGGCTTCTGCAATCTGGGAGAACAGTTCCATTTTAGCAAACAAAATGTTCAAGGGCTTCTTGGCAGGACTTGGGGCTGCTTAGATAGATGCAAGATCATCCTGACAGAAATCAATTTTACTGGTAAAGCTTGATAATGCAAAGCAGGCCACCAACTGTAAAGCTGGCAGACTATGGAATGGCAGTACTGGTGTTTATATATGCGACAGCAGGTGAGGGGTGAAATAAAAAAGCAGATGATGAAGTTCCTTGTGGCAATTTATTTTCAGAGTGATCATGGTTTTTATTGCTCATTCTAGTGAAGAATCAACTGTTTCTCTGACTAAAAGCTAAAATTAATGATTTCTTGTCGTTTAATTTCAGGCTAGCTAAATTGATATCACAGGTAGAATGGAGCAAGACTGGCATTAATTTCATTGTAGATAGTGACTATTATCCCTGGATAAAGAAGAGAGACCCAAGTTCTCCCTCTCGTGAGGAAGATGACACTTCATTGACTATGAAGAAGTTCTACATATCGCTTGGTCAGGTAAAATAAAAATGTTTAGTGGGTGTAACATCAAGCTAGATTGAATGCATTGGGTTAAATTATTGTAACTGAGGTCACAACCTAATTGGACAACTGATTTTCTGAATATCCTGTCTTTTCAAAGCTCTTTGTACTTTAGAAAAAGGTTGATGAGTTGTAATACAGCTTAAACAGAACTGGGGACTATCGTTATAGAAATCTATACAAATGGACTTGCACAAAATGACCACAGACAGTAAGCCCTCTGCTCTCAGAAATACTGCAATAAACAGAGAAATTTGAATTACTCTATGACATTTCTTTTCCTAGGCTACGGTTTCTCAGACAAAGGATTGGTTTACATTAGCAAAACAAAGTGAATCCATGAAAACTACAGATTCACTTATGCATCCTGTGGCTTCTAGTCAAATTCAAGATATTCAGTGTTTACCTGGGCAGCATGAAAGAAACGATTCATTAATTGAAAAAGATAGCCTTCTGGGTAAGTAACAGGGGCTCAGCCATAGTAACACAAGTCTGACTCGGTGGAAAGTGTTTCAAGGAATTGCTGTTAACTCCACTTATTGGCATGATATCTTAGGCTTCAGGTGGGGATTTGTTTCTTTCCGTAGTCACAACTCTAAATTAAAATTTGAGCTTGTAGCCAAGTAATTTTGTGATGATAGAAGTTTTGCTTCTTACATATTTCTGTCTCATAGATGCCTGCAATTTTCAGATGAGGAGCTTTTTTTTCATTTGATATGTTTTGAAAAACTTTTTTGTCTGGATTCTTTGGGTATTTGATAATGTATGATTTGTGTTGCAGCCATCTTCTTAGGGTATTTATGATGGGTACTTAAGGGCCTTTTGGCTGTCAATTTTTATGAATCTTATAGAACATTATCGTTTGTGACACTCTATCTGTTAAATTTAACTGAAATTTTTCATCAGGTTTCAAAGGTATTAGGAGAGAACATACTGGCACACATATGGACATACCTGATTGCATAGCCCTGCTTCTGCTCTGTAGGCAGTAGCAAGATGAACAGAGAAATCTCAAGCTCATATGTTTCAAGTTCTCTCTCTCCTATTCTCAGAGGAAAAAGCAGCCATTCCATTTTGAGACTTGTACTGCTGGGACCTCGGAGTCCAATGGCTGAGTGGAAAATTGGAAGACATGTTAAGTCCAGAATTCTCTCGTCTTTGCCATGAGGATCACCCCAGGAAATATACTGCTTATTCACAGATTATTAATGAAGTTATCCAAGTTGCACTTGTTTGCAGGTCATGACTCAACCAGTAATTTTTGGAGTGCTTTGAGCAGAGAGGTCACAAGTGCACCAATCTTGACGAGCATCATAATGCAGCATCGCTCTGTATTGCAGTGGGATGGGTATAGGCCTATGGAAAGCCTCTCAGTCTCTTCTTTTGCTGTCGTTGTCCTGCAGTCAGCAGCATTTTGCCTCAATAAACATTTCACATCTTCTCACTGAAAACTTTATTTTATAACATAGGCCTTCATTTTACATGTGCTTATTATTCTTCTTTATGGTTATTTCATGGGAAATCCACCATTCTTCCAGTCAGAAAACTTTTTTTTAGACACAGCATTCACTTGGTGTAGGGGGTCAGGCACTGGAAGCAATAAAGGATATCAGCTAAGTTTCTCAGAGCCAGACTGCAATTAGAAAGAGTTCAATAGCTGAAGGTATTTGCTTGGACACTCCAGTTTGAATTCCTTGCTCACTGATTCAGTTTGATCAGGGTTATCAGTTAATGTCTTGAGCAAAACCCTGAGCCACTTGGCTTTTGATTACTCAAGAGCTGTGTATCTCTCTTCCTAATTCCTTCAGGTCCTCTGAAATCATTCTTCATGTTTCATTTTCACAGAACTGTGTTGAGAAGCTATATAATTTTTCTTTGTCAAGTGAAAACTTTTGAAATATTTAGAAATAAGAAAAGATATAGCACAATATATTGACATTAATATAAAAATATGTACTTACACATGAAATTCTGTAAGTGCAGAGCAGGGAATCCTTATGCCATGTTCTTAATCCAAGTGTGTCTGTGACAGTGGCCAGCACTGGTTAGACGTGGCTTATTTTCAGAGGAAGACGGAAGGAATGTCTAACTGCCATTGCCATTTATTGACTAGGCCACCATAGAGGGTTACACAGGCTGATAATATTGCAAATGTGAATTTAGTGGATCTGAGAGATTCATCACTTTTCTATCACAGCCTGATGTAATGCATGTCCTTAGTGGCTGTAGCAGTCTCCTCGATGACAATGTTTTGCCTTAGTGATACAATAGAGTATGAAAGCCTACATCCTAGCTTTAGGGAAATACAGAAAATTCAGTTTATTCTACTGTTTAAACACTGGATTGATATGAAGATATTGTAGAGCCACAATTGAATTCTGACTTCGTTTCTTCTTACTTTCACTTAGATTCTGCTGCTGTTCACAGTATCTGTAGTTATTCTGCTCAGTTTTATGGGACTCACTTGTACATTGCCAGCAGCATTAGCCTAGTTAAGCAGTATGTATAGTCAAGGTCATCTTTGCTAACATGCTCCAGAAGTACTGCATTGCTAAAAGTCTGGCACAGGTAGAAAAGACATTCGAGCAAGTTAAAGCAGTAAGTTTCTTTCTCACCAGGCCGGGATGGCAGGGCACCCTTAACAGCATGGGGATGATGAGTTGGGTAAAAGGTCTTAAGTAGAGAAGAGTGGACAAAAAAAATAGGGCTGGTCACTGTTCTGAACTTGCTAGTTATGAAACTTGTCTGAATGGAAAGGACCCATTTCTGGGTGGCAGACTAGACTGCAGGATTGTTAAATGTTTCCAGAGCCCTTGACATAATAATTTGTTTTGTCATCCTTCTATGTATGTCAAGATTTTACCCAACTGACAGAGACTTGTTTGACATCTTAGTCTTTTGCAACAATCAACATAAATAGACAAAGAATTATCACTTCCTAGCTTCCTCATGCCTGAACAAAACCCAGCCCTGCTACATACTGTGACTTTGATCAAGCCATGATCAAATGCTCAGGAAGAAACCAGGCCTTGCAGCTCAACAAGGTGGTTTAACAAGTGCTGAGGAGCTGGGATGCTCAGCTGAGTAAACAAGACAACTGGCTCCAGAGGGACTTGTTCCTGAACCCTGCTGCTCTGCTGGAATTCAACAGGGAATGAGTTTCTGAGTCATGGGGCTGAGTTTCTAGCCAGATAGCAATGGCAGCAGCACCACTGCTATTCCCTGCTCTGCAGCATGACATGGTCTGATTGTTCTGCAGCGGCACAATGTAAATATGTTGCATTTTTTAACTTGGAAATGTTGACATGCAAGAGAACAGCCCTGAATCAAAAGGGTGTTCAAAGATCTTTTCTTATTTAATACAGAAGCAGATTCCCTATCTAAGGAATACCACCAACGGAGTTTCCTTTCCCCTTCAAGGACAGCATCAGCAAAAGCTGATATTATCAGGGAGGGATCCAGAGAGGCTGAGGAGGGTTCTTCTGTGGCCATTGCTGAACCTCATTCCCACACTCAGTTAAGAGCATATCTAGACCTGAAATGGGACAGCGCAGCAAAAGAAGAAAATGGACAGGAAAGCACAACTTTTCAAACACCACAAAAACTCATACCAGCTTATACTCAATTTGTAATGAAGGAACCCATTTCAGAACTGACCCACCAGCCACCTGCTGACATGGAGAGTGATGTGGATTTCCATAAACAACCCGAAGTGTTTATACGTGCGTTAGCAGATAATGAATTTGCCCATGGTACTGCAGAATCACTCTTTTCCCAAAGTTCTTCTCCATTTACTGTCTTGGACTCCAAGGGAGATGTAAGAGAACGAGATACTGAAGAAGTAAGCTTAAGATCAAGTTCTGAAAGTGATGGCGCAGACAGTAGGGCTGCCTGGTGTATTAGTCACAGGACTTATGACACTGGCAACAGACATGAGTTTGAAAGGTTCAAGAAGTTCATTAAAGGAACACTTGGGGAGAGGTACTGGTGGCTCTGGATGGATATTGAAAGACTAAAGGCTCTTAAGGACACTACAAGGCAGCAAAGGTACTTCCCATTATTTAACAGTTATTCCCATTATTTTAATACTTCTAACCTAGCTAGATTAATGCAGGTTTTGAGATTTCAGAATAAATTGTAGTGTTTGAACAGAACAGACAGAATTAATCCTGAGTGTCCTGACAAGATAAGTCAGGAATGATTCTGATGAAGCTGATAAAACTGTTTTTGGTGAGTCACGTTTACAAAGCTTACATGAAATCAGAATTGCCTTAACATTAAGGCTTTGTTAGAAAGAGATTTGGAAAACACATGGCAACAGTAATTATAAAAAGAATAAAAGAACTTAAATTCACAAGTAGGACATTCAGTATGACAAACTGCTTTAGTGAAAGGCTCTGCTGGATTCAGATTGTCTGTTCTAAGGCACATTACATTCTATCTTATTTACAACCTGTCTCTAATTTGTGGAAAAGTTGTTTTGGCTTCTGCCACTTGCAATTAAAAACATGTTGCATGACAGCAGTTTAACCAGTAGGATGAACTGTACTTAGTTCTGTATAGCATCTGATACATGCTTATGTGACTATTTTTGTTGACTCAAGGCAACTCAGTAAGATGAAAAAACTCTATCTGCTGAGCAACGGCGACTATTTCCTCAGTTCAGAAGTCTTACTCAGACTTGATCTACTGCATGGAGATCAGTGGAATATAAGGCATTTAAGACGGATTCAGCCTGAAGTAGTGAAACCTCTACTTCTTTACTGGTATGGAAAAATGAACGTGAACTAAGATTGTTGTTTAACAAATTTCCCTTTTCTTTGATAAGCCTGTTAGGTTTATTTCATCTCACTTATCCCATTGCAATTATGGGAAGCAGTGTCATCATAAATACTAGCAGATGTTGCCTCTGAATTTTCAGTTGAGCATAAACTACACTGCAATCTGCTGAGAAGTCAGGTAGATCTGCCTTACTGAGCCCTTGTTATTTTACTGCCAGAGCATCTGAGCTACTTTGTGTATAGCTGCCTTGGATACCATTCAACTAAACTTCAGGCTTCAGGGTACAGAAATCCCTTCTGGCACAGAAGGTTAATTCTGTCCTAACCTATTCCCTATATTGCCCTTCTCAAGTTTCTGAGGATGCTCTGTGTATACATCTGTGTGGAATTTGACCCTGAGACTTTACTGTTCAATGTCTGTCATGCAAAATGCCTTTTACATATTGACAGCTTAAGCAAGGATAGAAATTCTAACCTGTTTCCAAAACACAAGCTAAATTTTTGAAGGTTTCTCCTCCCCAAGGGGGATCAACAAATTGCAGGTATAAAAAAATACCTGTGATTGTGAACTTTGCTGTGGAACCTCATGAGAGTTGTGGTGCGTGTCCTGTGACCTACAATCCTTTTCTGTTCTTTGCTGTAGGATGGATGGACCATATTCTACTGCAAACTCATACAAAGGCAACTATATAACGGTGCAGAATTTGCATTCTAAGTTTATTCATGTGTCTCTTGGTTTTAGATTTGGAAGAGTTTCTAAACATATCTTTAACACTGACTGATTTTTAATTCTAGGTGCATATAGCACCATGTCTTAATACAGTAAACACCATCATGGGAAAAAAGAAAAAAGCCAAATAGCCTGATACTTCATATTTTGGGAAAGTTCTACTTATTAGTTTTTTTTTTCCCTAGGGGTCCCAGATTTTGTGTGACTCATTCAACAGCAATAGAAACTGCCAGTGCAAAACTGAAGCTCTGGCACACATGCCAAGAGAGACCAAGGGTGGACATTGATCCTTTTCCACAAATGGTATCATTGCTACCATTGACACCTAAGTCTTGCAAGCCCAGGATACACCCTTCCCTTCCTCAGGTAGGTAGGATCACAACATTGAAAAACAAAGCCTTGTCCCATCAAAAATAATGATAAAACTTGAATTCAGTAGAACATGAATATGGTACTTAGTTGTTAGGAAGTCAAGATTTAGCAAGCTGGTCTGTTGCAGATGGTTATGTATAAAAATGAAAAAAAAATTACTATACCTTATGCGACAAGTTGCTAGAAATTGAGCCAAATTATCTTCTCAGTTACATCCTGGCTATTTCGTAAGTCTTTGGGATAGACATTTTAGCTCAAAATTCTCAGAACTGCAAAATTAAGGATCTAGCAGTGTTGATTCTGCCCTTCAACTATCCTTTGCTTAATCCAGAGTAATTCTTAAAATTTCACTGCAGTTACCCTGAATCTACTTGTCATGTTTGTAAAAAGGGCAGAGTTCTGTTCATTTTCAATCAGCTACATGTGATTTTTTGCTGTCTAGAGGGCCATGAGCCACACAACACAGACCTTTTCACAGCTTGTAGCTTGCCAATCAGTTTTGACTCTTTTCTTCCTTGAAAGCCAGAATTTGAGAGGTAACTGCACTGAAAGCTGCAGGTTTTCAGCAATACAGTGTTAAGCTTCAGGACAGAAGGTACTTAGAGAATGTGAATCGAGACTGTGGTTCCAGTATCAAGAACTGGATGGTCTATGCCACAGATCTGTTCAGACACACCTCTGGTTACTTTGAGTTGGATAGTTTCAGAGTACAATTATATTTTTTAAAAAGCTAATTCATGGAGATAAGGGAGGAAAAACAGTGGGACAGATTTC